AGGTGGCCAGCGTCTTCCCTGGCTTGCTCTTAGCTAAGATCCTAATGAACTTTCTCAAGATTCAGGACAATGCTTGGCCTCAGATTTGATGGGTCCTCAAACAGGGGCCAGATCAACCTGCTGACTTGCCATTTGACCTCAAGGAAGTCACTGAACTTCTCTTGTTCTAATTTGCTCATCTTTAACATGGAGGATTCAGCTCATTGTGCTCTAAGGCGACTTTCATAGCAAAAATGCTGTGATTTGATAATTCTAAGCATCTGAGAATGTTTTCTTTGGCCCTTGGCCATCCCAGGATGTTTGATAAAATCTGATCATTTGGATAAGTCCCAGGAAAGGAACAGATCAGAGCCTGCATTGGGTGTTGGGAGCCCACCTGATGGGAGTGTGTGCGTGCATGTGGTGGGGAACAGGGAGCATGGTAAAGTGTGGAGACTGAGAACTAGAAAGAATTAAAGATTATTCAACTTGTTCCAAATATGGAAACTGAGCCCCAGAGAAGGAAATGATTCGTTCAAGTTCATACAGCTAAAGGCAGAACTGGTATTAGAATTAATCCATTCCTGGGTTCTTTCTCCTACAATGAGGATGACAAATACATTTCCTTTTCTGTCCTCTGATCAATTAGCAGTGGCTGCCTTGAGCACTGACTTCTGGAAGTTTCCCAGGTCCTTCAGAATTCAGCAAGAAGAGTGACAATTGATTAGCAATGTCTGATGTAGCCACAGGAAAGGAGAGTGGTCACCCAGATTTTGTCAGCCCTGACTTTCCAGGACTCGTGATAGAACATAATTGCCAGTGGGGAACTTGAGGCTCATTCTTCATAGAGAACCAACAGGTGAAAGAAGAGCAGTAAACTACATAACTCCTGCAGAAAATTCTTTTAAGTGCCTGGTCCAAAATTCAGAGGTGGTAGTCAATGCATGCTTAGGGAACCAGTTCAGTCAAAGTTTGCTAAGTAACACTGGGAACAAATAGTATTGCAAACTGTGTAAAGGGATGCAGAACAAGATAGCAAGTAAGGTAGGGACACATTGTACAATATGCACCAGAAGTTTTTGTTGTATTTTTTAATGTTGCTCCAACTGTAATATCACTGCTTAGACTAAGACAGTGAAATTGATTTACTTTCAGGAGCATAGTTGCAAAGTTATATGTAAAACTATACAAGCATATGGACTAGCTAATCCCTCCATGCCTAAATTTAATTCTAGTCAATAATAATAACAATAGCTATGTCATTTAATCCTCACGACAATCTTATGAGGTAAATGTTGTTATTATCACTGTTTTACAGGTGAAGAAACAGGTGTAGAGGGGCTGAGCGACCTGTCCAAGTTCACACAATTAATAGGTGGCAGAACTGGGATTTGAATCAAACTTGTGATTTCAACACTTCCCTCTAACTAAAAGCTGGACCCAACCTGAGGCATATTTGAGGACTCATGGAAGTTACTAGAAGTGGGGTATAGGCCTTTTCAGAACTGGCCTTGAAACGTCAACACTTCTTAAAACAAAAGCAACATCATGATCTTTCTCTTGTTTTCATTTACTAGGCTCCAAGTCACCAAACTTCTTTGCCTCTCTGGGAAAACTAAATGACCCACCACTTTAGAAGAAGCTCATGGGATCTGTGCACAGCTTTTCACCTCCTCCCTGAAACACCAACACGCCCGGTCCGGGTTAAAGGATATCAGCACTGCCACACACTCTTCTTTTTCCCAAATTAATCAAGAAGTAGGAATTTCTGACAAATGCCATCTGCTGATTTTTCAGAGAGACAAGTTTTGGTGGTGTGACCAGCAGGTGCCTCGGCTTTTTCTAGCATGCAGTACCAAAATAGTCACCATGGCAACCCTGGGAGGGCAGACTTCCAAAGAGATGCATTGTGAGCACAGAAACTCTAGAGCACTTTCAAGCTAGAAGGAAGAAGGCTCAGCAGTGGGTTTCCAACTGTGGCAAGTAGCAGCTTCTCCCCACAGCCCCGGGCTGGACCTCAGGCCCCTGTGTACTGAGCACAGCCAGTACTCCCACCCCACCCTGGGAAGGGTGCCTCCAGGAAGAGAAGGAAAATGGAATTTGTGGGGGAGTGGCAACTCCCAGATTTCTTGCAGGAGCTAAAGTAGCATGGAGGGTGACAAAAAAGGTGCAGACCTGGGTTGGGAGGCAGGAGAAGTGGGTTGAAATACCTGCCCTGTCACTTGCTAACCAATGACCTTGGACAATTGACCTTGCCCTTCTGACTCTCAGCTTCTCATTTTTGAAACGGGAGTGGTGAGCTTGCACTGCCTCTTCACAGGGAAATTTGTGGATATGATAGGAAGCTGTGAAAACTGTTGGGAAAGTGCTCAGTGGACAGTGCAAAGCAGAAGAGAACAGGGATTTGGGGATCAGGAGGTTTGGGTTCTGGACCAGGCTCTGCTACTTTCTAATCTTACGAGCTTGGGCAAGTCATAGAGCTTGTCGGACCTACTCCCTCACCTTGGAAGAAGGCTCAGAAGCCCTGCCTTGCAGAGCGGATGTGCAGGTTACCTGGGCTCCTTCTGTGACCTGGGATTCTACTCTCCCCTTCGGTGCAGACACCAAGACGAGATAAACCATGCAGAAGATTTCACTATGGGAAACATCTGTGAGACAACAATGAGGAGGGAGCTGGGAGAGGCTAGGAGAGAGGAAAGGCTGGGAGAGCCATCACACCTTGATGCAAATCTGACCCAAGGGCAGGAGGGAAGCAAGGTTGAGTGAACGCTCCTAGACTGCCTACAGTAATGCCATCAGAGAGTCCTCAAGCCAAAGTCACCTATCAGAGAAGTTCCCTGTCTCTTGGAGACAGGTCTGCCTTAGTATCCCTGCCACACTCAGTTGCTGATTGTCTGGAAGCAGCCAACAGGAAGAGTGGCCTCTGCATAAATATGAGTACAAGCAGCTGGAAGCCATGATCAACTGAGCTCCCTCTCCAGGAGACATATTGTTATGGCCACCACACCTACTCAATTCTGATGTCTTTTGCTTGGACATCCACATCAGGTACTTAGCCTCAGGCCCACACCTCTACTTCAGAAGCCTTGTACCCTACATTCATGGTCCTCTTACGCAGAACATGATAGGAACTCAGGCTCAATGATGTCTTAGAACAGCACCCCGGGAAAAAACATATTTTCTACATCTCAATTAGATTATGTAGCAAAGGGGCACAGGCTGTGTTCCATTCTGCATTTGAATGCACGCATGTGTAGGTATGCATGCTTGTCAGGGTGCATGCATATGAACGGTATATTTGTATGTATAGATGAGCATTTATAACTATGTGTATGCCTGTTGTGAATTTACACAATGATACCATTAGCCCATTAGCACTACGTAAGCATTTTGCACACATTATTTTTGATCTTTACAATTATCTTTGAGGTAGATAAGCAGGTAGTTTGTAGGCAAAATCCTTGTTTCAACTTAAATGTTTTCCCCAGCGTGCTACTCAGATAATACAAGGCAGAGCCGTGGTTTGAACCAGAAATGTTTTCCTTTAGAGTTGTAGCTCTTGTCCTTTCTGCCACCCGCCCCCATCCCACCTACTCATATGACTATGTGTTGCATGAAAGCACATATGTGTGTGTATATATAAAAGATTCAGATAGGGGAGGGGACTATACCTGGAGGAGTATAGATTAATTAGGGATTGGTGACTAGTGAAAGCTATTTCTGCCAGAAGCCCCCACTCTCCAAAATATAATTCTATTATTGTGTGTCATCTAAAAACATGTATTGTATCCTAGTTGCAAGAATTTCTATTTAATGGGGTACAAGACAAATTTTGGAGATTCTAAGCAACTTGAGGCTCTTATTCTTCTAGTATAATCGAACAGTGATCCACTTTCTTGGCCTTTCCCCAAAATCCTTGCTCCCATGGCAAGTTTTTCAGCCTACCTGGTGGACACTGTTTTGTCCTGATCGGGGGGTATTAAAGAAAAATATATCTACCCCAGCACCTTAGTTTTCCAAATCATTTGTCTTTGCTTGTTTCCTAGCAGCATGAAATACCCGTCTGGAGAAATAGATTTAGAATCAGTTTCAATTGCCATTTATTGAGCACAGGTTCTGTGCCTACAATTTTCATAAATGGTCACATTTGATTTTTATTCTCATCAAAATGATATCTATTTAGCAATGAAGAACTGAGGGTCTAATGGTTTAGGAGACTTGCTCGATGTACCCTGTTAGGAAGGGGGCAGAACAGGAGCTAGAGCTGGGCTCTGAAAACTCACGGCCTGGCTCTTTCCACAGTGTTCACATTCTCTCCAGGCAGAAGATACGATCTGCCCAAATACTTGCTTTCCAGGCCATCCACCAGTTCTGCGGTATCCTGGGAACCTGCAGGGCCAGCCAAGCCCAGGACAGGGCCGCTTGGGGCCAGGACAGGTAGACTTACCTGGAAGAGCACCAGCCTGGCTATCAGTATATCCACTTTCTTCCCATTTCCTTTTGCAGCCTCCTTCCTTGGTTCACAATGACAGTCCAACTTCTGACAGTCCTGACTGCCATTCAAGCCTTTTTGCTATTTAAGAATTTTGAGGAAGAAAACCGTCATCTCAAAATCCTGGTAATCAGAAGTGTCTGGAGATTTCGAGCTGTTAACACAGAGAGGTGGCAAAAGTATTTTCTAGGACAGCCTTATGGGCCCGAATGGCAGCGGGACTTGACATAACTGATGCCTGGGCAGGTTTCCAAAGCACAGCCGAGGTGCAGAGTAGGTGAGGGCTGCCACAAAGGCCCCAGCATCTGAAGAGCACTGCACAGTTTGTCAGAGGCTTTCAGCTCCACGCTCTCATTTAGTCCTCACAGCAACCCCATGCAGTGACGGGTGTCACTCCTCTTCACAGCTGAGGAGACCGTGGGGAGAGGAAACGTGAATTGCCCACTGGCAGGCAGGTGAGAAGAGACAGAGCTGAGACTCTCACTAGTTCTTCGAACTCCAGGCCCAGCATCTCAGGATTGTATCCCATTGGCTCTTGCACCTGTATCAGGGTCAATGGCAGGGTCAGCGGCAAATAGCAGAGGGGCCTGAAAACAGATGGGAACTCTAGAAAAGGTAAGGAAGTTGTCTCCGTCAGCTCCAGCCACTGTAACAAATGCCCTCGGCTGGGTAGCTTAAATCACAGACATTTAGTTCTGCACTGGGAAGTGCATGATGAATGTGCCAGAATGGTCGAATTCTGGGGAGCACCCTGGCTCGACATCTCCTTGCTGTGTCTTTACATGGCAGAGAGCGGAAGCACACACCCTCCTGTCTCTCTTTCTATGGGCACTAATCCCACCACGAGGGTTCTGTCCTCATCACCTCATTACCTCCCAAAGGCCCCAACTCCAAAAACGATTACACTGGGGATTAGGGTTTCAGTATAAATTTGGGGAGAATACAAACATTCACTACATATCAGAAGTATAGCGCCCTGGTGGCCCAGTTCATTTAGTGTAATAAACCTGGTGCTGTGCTAGGCACTGGGGATATGGCCTGAACAAGGCCATCCAGCCCCTGCCCTAAGAAGTTAGAGTCCAGTAGGGAGGCTGGTGGATAAGCAGGCAACTCCCACACAGAAGAACAAGCATTCTGGTGGAGGGACGTGCGGGCTCTGTTGGAGGGCAGGGGAGGGCACCACACCCAGATGCAGTACTGGGCCTCTTGATTCATTTTCCATATATACAAAAATGACTTAGGGTTTGCAGAATGAGTGAAAAATAAATAAATAAATAAATAAAAGGTAGTTGCTGTGGGAGGGGATATCCAAGAAGGCTTCCCAGAAGAGGTGGACAGCCTTCTGGAGCTGGGGCCATGAAGGGTGGGTAGGATCCTGATGTGCAGAGACTTGGAGGAGAAGTATTGCAGCCCAAGGAAGCAGCATGGTCCCTGCAGAGGCAGGAAGGGGGAAATTCCTGGGGGTAATCACTCACCTTCAGAGCCTGTGTAGGCACTGTATGGGGTAGGGTAACAGGAGATGCAGCTGGAAAAGCAGATGGGGGTCAAGACGGGCCTGCCAATGTTTCGTTTTATCTTACAGGCAGTGGGGAGCTGTCGAGAGCATTTTGAGGGGGGCAGTGATACTGTTGGCTCTGCATTTCGGAAAGGTGGTTTTCAGGGCAGTTTGGATGATGCTGGGGAGAGGCTGACAGGTTCAAGGTCATTCCTGAGGAGCAGGTAGGTGAGACATGATAAGGGGATTAGCAAGCTGGCTTGGGGGCAGCACCAGCATACAAGCCCCAGTCATATCCGAGGAGAAGTACAGATCTACCTGGAGGAGCCAGGAGCCAGAGGCAAGCTCAAGGCTGGTGATGAGCCAGAGGGCAGGGGCAAGGCAGATGAGGGGACTCCATGGGAGCGCAGGGCTAGGGTGGGAAGCTGGGGGCGGAGGGTGTGAGGGCTATTGTTGGAAAGGGCTGAAGGCCCCTAATTGAATGTGGGTGTGCATGAGTGCATGTATGTGCGTTGGGCTGTACATGTGGATAATGATGCATGCATGGATGTGTCCCGGGCTGGGAGGAGAGGGCTCTGGGTTAAAGGGTGACAGATCAGGAGATAATGAGGGCCCCCAAAGGCCTGGAGGGGAGACACACAGGCTGGAGCAGGTCCTAACACCCACATGGGCACTCAACCCTTGGCCATCTCTGTAGCTGTAGAAAGCAGAGCAGTGAGCTTCCCAGAACAGTTTTGTTCCCTTGGTCATGCTTTACTGGAAGGCAGTGCCCGCAGCAACTCCCAGCTGTCCAGCTCAGGAGTCCAGCCACTGTGCCCCAGGCACCTACTTAGCACGTGACACCAGAGACACAGACATGAAAACCCAGTCTTTTTTAAAAAACCTGAATCAAACTCCTTGCTGGCACTTTCCACTGATTTTCTAGAAGTTTGTCCTCTGCACTCAGGGCTGAGGAAACCAGCTTGTCTGCAGGCCGGGCATTCCAGGGGGTTCCTTTGAAAACTTCCTGGGTGTCCAGGAGCCAGCAGCCTGCTGCACATGGGACGCAACGCCAGGTGAAATCCCAGATGAAAGTGAGCGGCATCGCCGAGACAAGCCCAGATCCTTTTCAGCACAGCGATTCCTTCCTTCCTCCCTTCCTCCCACAGCTCGGCTCGAGTTTTCTGCCCAGCGGAGCTCCGTGCCCCCCAACAGGGCGACGCCGGCTGGCTGACCCCTCGCCTGCTGGGGGGTACTGTACCCACGGCCGGGGCTTTGCTATCCCTCTCCTCCCCTCCCGCTGCTGACGCACGCTTCCTATAATAAGCCTCTGTTACTTGGAGCTGGGGCGGCTCCGTAGTAAGCCGAAACCGCTACTATATTTACACCCTTTCCACATTTAGACAAAGGCTATTTTTAACAGAAGGTCTATTTGTGGGGGTTGCCCACGTCACACTGTTCACATGCATCTCACCATCCTCAGTCTGTTCTTCTGATTTCACACTTGTACCGGGCCTCTCTCCTTCTCTCTCTCCTTCTCTCCATCATTTTTCTTTCATTCCTTCCTTCCTTTCTCCAGTTTCCTTCCTTTCTTTAATCGGATTGAGGTCTTTGGCAGGCTATTTGGCCAGAGCCCTTCAGGAGACAGCGAGGCCCTGTCCTCACAGAGCAGAGTGGGCAGTGTGGCCACGTGCTGGGCTGTGAACTGTTCTTGGCACCTACTGTGAGGACCAGCACAGACCTCAGTGCCCAGGGGCTCCAGTTTGGCCTGTTCTGCCTCCAGGTTTATGTGGGCAGGATGCTGGGACCATGACAGTCTGCCCTTTTCTCCTCATGCCAATCTAGTTTTATTGGAGGGGGGACGGGTGTGCACGTGTGTGTGTGTGTGTGTGTGTGTGTGTGTGTTGGGGGAGGAGTGGTGAGCGGGGTCTGAGGAAAATAAGCCAATGCGTTCATCATTCATGCAGAACACTTTTTCAACTTAAAAGTTAATTTTATCAGATTTGTCTAAGATGACAGAGTTTTTGTTTGTTTGGGTGAAAGGCGGTTTCATATTTCCTAGATGCATAATCCACTTATGAAACGGACGGGGGATGCCTGGAGTTAGCACATATTAAGTGCTTGCTGTAGTCAAGCCCTATTGGGCACCAGGGAGGTCTGGACTCTGACAGCGGAGCTAAGGGGTGGTCCTGCCTGCACCAGATTTCAGGTGAGGAGATTGAAGCCCGCGGAGATCCAGCTCTGGCCTGAATTCACTTAGCTGGTAAGTGGCTGTGCTGGAACTTAAATCTTTATAGACTGCGAGCTGGCCCCAAATCTCACACCTCCTCCATTGTTCCCTTTTCAGCTCCTAAAACATCACCAGTCTCCATTAGCACTGTTTCTGTTATTTTCCTTCCCTAAGTTCTGCTCCTCTCCTCAGCCCCCACCCCAATGAGAAAAGACCTTTCCCACCTCAGAACCCCATCTGCACTTCCTTGATCTACTTCTTCAGATTATGAGTCCTCTCAAATGTCAGCATCTAAAAAGGACACCAGAAAAGGTCTGGTGGGCACTAAAGGGTCCCAGAGAAACCCCATGTTGCCAAATCTTATGTTTTTCCTCCCAACAGTAAATTGGGATTGTAGCTTCTGAGTGAAATATTTTTACTGCATTTCTGAGAGAGGAGAGCTGAGATTGGAATGCACATCAGGCTATGCTAGAAACAGAATACAGAGCCCATCGTAGGACGCCCTGCCCTCTGTGGCCTAACTTCTGAAAGTCTCGTAAAACATGTGGGAACCAAATGCTTCCTGAGCCCCCATATTCAAGCCTTTAAAATTGCTGATTCTGGTTCAGACATTTCCTGGAGACTCTGATAAAAGATTATTGTCTTCTTGGTATCCTAGACATGAGGGGTCCTGAGCCCAGGAGTCTGGCAGCTGTAACATGAGGCAAGTTACATTGCTTATATTTAATTCAATGTCTTCATCCCTAAAATATAGATAATAATGCCCCCTTGCCCACTCACCCACTTCGCAATTTGCAGAGATGTTGCAATGAGAGAATGCATGTAGGCGTGCTGCTTTGAAAGTGGGCAAACGCAACCAGACGGCTAGCTGCTAGTGCTGATGTTTTCATCCTTAGTGTGGCTGTTGAGAGAGGGCTCAGGAAGGCCAGGTGATATGGACAAGGTCACACAGCAAGTAAGTGGTTGAAATAAAGGCACAATAGCCCTGTGTCCCTCAGCAAGGGGCTGAAAAGAAATTACAGAGCCAGTGGGAAGGCTCAGGTGCTGAGCTTTAGCAATGCTGGGCTGAGCTCAGTCCAGAAATGGGGACACTGATTTGGGATGAATCCCATCGCTCTCCCCAGCTGACCCTCCCTGTACCTTGGTCCCAGTGGCTTCTCAGGCTTCTCTGCAGCATGGGTGTCCTGCCTTGGCCAGAGCCGAAATCCCAGAGCAGTGAAAAAGGACCCAGTGTCACGGGGCTTCTGGTTTCAGGACACACTGGAAAGGTGAGAAGGAAGCTTGTCTTCCCGTGGATCTGGGCCAGGCCTGGGTGGCAGGGCCTCCCCACCAGGAGCTGGGATGTTCCCCAGGTGCCCGGGCATCCCCAGGTCAGGAGGGCCCCCAGCACTTTTTCAAAGCGTTAGCTGGGTCAGAAAATATATCATTTTCAGCCCTTTGCAGACACCAGATGCTTTGTTGGTGCAGGCAAAACCTGCCCTAGAATCTGCAGCCTGGGAAGGCCTTGTACACACCTGGATTAGGGGCTAGTTTGGGGAAAAGAGGCCCCTGCTCTTTGTACCTGCCTCTTGGAGGACTTGATGAGATGAACCCCCACACCCTGACCTCCATGACTTTGACCTTCACACTTTGGCCATGCCATTCTCACCAGCCACCACTCCACCTCTCTACCCCAACCCTCATCAGATTTTCACCTGTTTTCAAGGTTCAGATATTGCTCCCTATGTCAAATTTGGCCCTCTTTTACCCAGTCAGGAATGATTCACCCCTGCTCCCTTCTCTGTGCCCTTAGTGTTCTCTGTGAACATGGTAGCTGTCACAGGCTGGTCTGTGCTGGAGTTATCCTGGCACCCAGCCTACAAACAGAGGAAATGTGCAGTCCATCCATGGAATTTGGGTCAGGCTTAGTTTTCACCTCTTCTGAGGGTGGAGCAGAGCCTCTGGGTAAGAGGGACACAGACAGTGTTGAAGATACTGTGGTGCCCCACCAGCTCCCCTTTTAAGGACCGATGCACACTCCCCCACCCCCAGCTGCTGAATGTCACCTATTTGCCTGCTAATGACTCACAGCTGCCCCCTTTCTCCAGAGAATGGCTCTCAGAAGACAGAAGCTGCATCTCCATGAGGTTACAACTTTCTCCCCATACCTGCTCCCCAATCACTGCCACCACAGGTACTGACTGAGTGACACAGAAATGCAAAAGGGCAGTCCCCTCCCCTCATAAAGGGACACCTCTGCAGTGTGATTTAGGCTCCAGAGAGTCAGTCCACTTCTACCCCCTCTCCAAGGATCAGGCCAAGGCTGGCCTTCCCTGAGATCACAGTTTAGGATGACCAGCCTAAATTTCAGTTTTAGCACTGAAATTCCCATGTCCATCAGTTTTGGGCAAATGGAGCTGATTGACTAGCTTAGACTGGGCTACCAGATTTAGCAAATAAACATGCAAGATACCCAGCTATATTTGCATTTCAGATAAACAAAAAATACATTTTGAGTATAAGGAGGCCTCATGCAAGACTTCCAACATACTTACAGTAAGAAATTACTCATTGTTTACCTGAAATGCAAATTGCCCTGGGCAGCCTGTATTTTATCTGCTAGCCTGGCCCTCGACCACATCTGTGTTTGTCTCTCTCTCTGCTCCTATCCTGCTTCCTTTCCTCTCTCCCTTGCAGATTTTTCCTGAAGAGCACTCCCCCAGTACCTAAATCTCTGCTTCAGGCTCTGCTTCTACGGAAACTGGCCTCAGACTGTTGTTTGTCCCTTTTTGCTGCCTAAGGTGGCCAGAGAAGTCCTTTCATTTTCCCTGAATGTTGCAAAATCTTTCTTTTTGGTCAGACTTCTTGGCTAGAGTGGGGGAAATCATGACACCAATTGTCACCAGCTGAGGTCTCCCAGGTCCTCACAACAGCCCTGAGTGATGGCTGCAATTCTTATAACCATTTTTAGATGAGAAAACTGAGGCAAGAGAGATACAACAGCTTACCTGGCTGCACAGAAAGTGGCAGAGCTGAAATACAGAACCATATCTCCCTGCCTCCAAGATTCCTGCTTCATCAGTGCCTCCCAGGGAATCCAGGAGAGACACAAGAGCAAGGCTTTAGCTTTGCTGATCTACCCCCTCCTGACCCCTGCAGCGTTCGGACTTCAAGCTTTGACCTTGTCTCTTGGCACTGGATGGATAGGGCAATTCTAGGTAAGCTCTCTGGGTGACCCTGGGGGCAATTCTAGGTAAGTTCTCTGGGTGACCCTAGCGACTAACTTTACATTTGTGCAGAACTGGCTTCCCAGAAACCATAGGAAGATGGGGGTGTCCAGAAATCCATGTGGCCACAGCCCCCTTTAGGAAGACTCTATTTTCATTCATCTGCGACAGAGCTGTGTTCATGGCTTAGGGTCTGAGGCTCAATTTAACATGCTAGAACATCAGAACTAGATGAAATGGACCTCTGGGGGGCCATTGAGCTATCACCCAATAGGATTTGAAGTTTCCATGGACCTGACATTCATGTTTAGTTAAGTACTTAACCTGCTCCTGGTACAAGGTAGTGGTCACCTAACAGTGGCTGTAAGTAGTAGTATTTATCCTAAGCAATAGTAATAAGAACATCCAATGAATGAACCTGAAAACCATCATTCTCAGCAATCTGACACAAGACCAGAAAATCAAACACCTCATGTTCTCACTCATAGATGGGTGATGAACAATGAGAACACTTGGACACAAAAAGGGGAGCATCACACACTGGGGTCCATTGTCGGGGGCTATGGGGATAGTGGGAGGGAGAGTGGGGGAGAGATAACATGGGGAGAAGGTATAGGTGATGGGGGGATGGTGGCAACAAACCACCTTGCCATGAATGTACCTATGCAACAATCTTGCATGATCTGCACATGTACCCCAGAATCTAAAGTACAATAAAAAAAAGAACATCCGATTCCCCAGATGACATGAGACTGATATGAATATGTCCTATAGCATACTCAACGGGCTTCAGCTTAAAGCCGTCCAAAGATGCAGTGAGTTGCCTCAGAAGCCAGTGAGCTTTCTGTCATTCACAGGGAAGAAAGGGAGGAAATTTGTTTATCTACCTACCAGTGGGAGATAATTTCCATCCGTTATCTCTTTTAATCAGATGCTGAGATGTTCCAGAAAAGGCTGGATGACAGCTTATGATGGCGTGCCAGCTTCTGAGGGGCTGAACTAGAATGATGCAGAGGTCCTCCCAGACCTGAGACTCCAGGAGTCTTTGAAAACGCTGACGTCCCACATTTATAAGACCAGTGGCCACTCTGGTGTCCAGAAATCTGGCAAATCATTCTAAAATAATGTCACAGGCTCCAACCCTGCACTTCTCAGAACTGTCCACACACTTAGACCAATCAGAGACCCGGCTTGTGCCCCTGAGTTGGGGGGCGGGGACACTGACCTATGGGCCCTCAAAATCCTCCTGACCTGCAAGTTCCTGGGCATAGGAGACTGCACCAGACCCTCTTTCTTCTTGCCTGTCACCATGCTATGCCTCCCCTCTTCTCAAGCAGCTCAGCTCAGCCACAGACAGAGTCAGGCATGCTCAGTTGCCAGCCCTACAGCTGCCCAGCTTTCTGCTCCCTCTCCCACAGCTCTCAAAAGGATACCCCAGAGTCCCTGTTTCATACACACACACACACACACAAGCACACACACACCAAAAAAACCCTTATGGAATCTTTGACCACAATCACAAAATCACAGGGCTGAAAGACACGGCAAGTACCTAGCCCAAAGCTGAGCAGATCCCTTAAATCCAGGCCCCTCAAGAACTCCCCTACCAGATCCTCCATCCGCACACCTCCACAGTGGAGAGCTCCCTCCCAGCTGGTGTCACCCTTCCTAGCGTTGAACTCCTCGGCCTTTAGAAGGTGCTTCTCGTATCCGGGTACCAGGCATCCAGGTATCCAGGTGACTTCTTCTGGCTTCCTCTCATTGGACCTAGTGTTTTAAGAGATGGCACAAGAGTCTAATCTTGTTGGAAGGTGGTGTGCAAAGAGGTGCAGGAAGACACATGGGAGGAAGTAGAGAGAGATGAAGTCAGAGGTAGTGAGAAACATCAGAGAGAGAATTGGCAGGGATGTGCACAGTCTAAAAGGGACCTGTATCCCGCATGCTGACAATTTTTCCATTATGCTTTTTTTAAAAAAACTCTGTTGCTCTTCAGCCGAATGGAAAACATGTCCATCCCAAATAACTTACTCTCTGAGAACTGCAGAATAAACGGGACCATTGTATGACCTCTTGTGCTGATGAGAAAAGAGTGATCAGGAAGGGAGAAGACTCAAAACTGTGTTGCATGGAGAAGAGTTGAAAGAACTGGGTCTCTAGCCAGAAGAAGGGATTTGGCTGGTAAAGTGTTTGCCTCTGACAATCCTTCCTGGGAAAGAAGGATTGGACTGATTCTAAACAGAATGAAGAATTGGACTTAGGACCAAAGGATAAACCACCAGAGTGACCAAAAGCTTTCTACTAGACAGAGCTGTTTAACAGTTGGTAAGGTAGTGAGAAGTCCCTGTCACTGAAGGTGTCCAAGCAGTGGGGGCACTTGATGTTTTATGTCTGAGAGTCCATGAGCTTTCTTTTAATGCATGCACATCACCACCACCACCCCCAACACACACACACACACACACACACACACACATACACACACACACACTAAAGCCTGGCCATATAAAGCCAGGTGAGGCACACGAGTGTGGGGCATGCGTCAATCACTTTCCTTAGCTTTGGTCACCCAGAGATCTTCCCATTGCAGACTTGGTTGTCAGCAAGAAATAAAAGCCTTTCCTCTCTCCTTGGGAGGAGCGGAGCAGATTGTCTGGATCTGCTGCATACTGCCCTGGCTCTGGTCTCAGCACCAAACGCGTTCCTTCTGCTCAGTCTGTTCCCGTTTTGACAATGCAGAGGGGAGAGCTGGAGAAAGTCCCGCAGCCCAGAGCCCTGGCAGCAGAGGGCGGGGCTTTGTTGTCGGACTGGACGGATCATATTTGCATTCAAAAAGACTAGGTAGAGCCCCTTGCTCCCAACACAGGCAGAAAGTTTGGCTGGGGCTGGCGCCGATCCTCAGGCATCTTTTGAAGAGAAAGTGCTACCTGCTGCCCTGCTTCCAGTGTTTTCTCAAGGGCAGAGCCTGAAAAAGGTTTCCGCAGGAGGAAACTTCTCTAAACCTCTCTAGCATCCTGGAGATTAAAATAAGTTTTTTCTCTGCAAAAGGGATGAAGTGCTCTGCTACCTGAGGGTGGAGTACTAGGCTCTTTGCCTGATTAAGATTCAGAAAATATACTTTTTGACTACAGCATTGTATGTCCCATGACCAGCCAGTAGTGATCCATTAAACAATGTTACTCAAGGAAGATTCACTCAGTACCCACTCTGTGCTAGGCCATGCCTCCCAGGCACTGGGGAGCAAAGGTGAGAGAGATCCAGGACTTACCCTCAAGAAGCTTATAGTCCAGTGGGAGAGACCATCACAAGCAAAAAATTAAAATCCATGCATTCAGGGCTCCAGGAGAGCTTTGCTGTGAGTGCACTAGCTGTCTGGGAGCATCTGGGATAGCGTCTGCAAGGAAAGGATGCTTGGGATGTGTTTTCAGGAATACACCGGATTTTATGAAGCCGCAAAGGGCAGGAATAGGAAGGGGTCTGTGCACGCAAAGTTCTGGGAAAGACATGGAAAAGCTTTGTTTATTTAAGGAACTATGAGACTTTTGACATGACCAGAGGCACTACTATGCAGACAGGAAAGTGCAAAGGATGAATCTAGAGCAGAGGTTTTAACCAGGGACAATTTGTATCCCAGGGACACGTGTTTGTCACAAAGAGAGGAGCAGGAGTGCCACTGGCATCTAGAGGGTAGAGGCCAGGAAGGCTGCTAAACATCCTACCATGCTACCATGTGGGCAGCCCTCACAATCCATGATCTGGTCCACAACCTCGATAGTGCTGAGATAGAGAAACCCTGAGCATGGTAAGGTGTTTAGGACCTTCTGTCCACTGCAGAGAAGCAGCAGCCACACCAGGAAAAACGGAGCTCTGTTAGGGGCACTGTGCTTTCTGAGGGTCACACAGAGAAGGCGTAGAGGAGGGAAGCGAGGGGAGTGCTGAGCTTTCAGATTCTGCACTCTGGAGACCCCGTACCTGTGCTGCGGCCAGCCCTCCCGGCTGTATTTCCTGTACACATTTGATAAGCCTGCATCCAGTGTCTACCTCCAAATTGTTGATAAAAATATTAAACACAAAAATTTCAGGGCAAATAATGACTTAGATTCCTAAAATATCATTCAGTTTATGGGGCATTTTACATCCTTCATCTCATTTATATTCATTTTACAAAACAAATATGAAGCTAAGAGATGTTCTGCAATCTAGGAATTATTTAACTATTACATGTTCAGCTCCCATCTCTTCTCCTAGACTGGTCCCTGAGTGCTCCAAGGACCCATGCATCTAGTCGCAAAGGTTGCTGGGAGTATTCTCCATCTTGGCCTTAAAGGGCTCCCTTTCAGCTTCCTGGATTCATATCTGTGTGAAGGGCTCAGAGCAGGTTCCCTGGTCTCCTTCTGCCCCTAGCTGTGATACTCACATACCCTTCTGACTACAGGGAACCTCTCCCTCCATGAGGCTGAATTGGTAAGAGGACCTCTCATGGCTAGCAGGCAGGGACAGC